CAGGGTAGGACAACATGCAGTTGCCTTGAAAAAAGTGCTCCACTCCATGCTCAAGTGGCTGCACTCGTGGGCTTGCCATCTACCCCGGGTGAGGCTGCGTAGGCTGTGGCTTGAGGCAACCAAATTAGTTTCGCAGGCGGCCCTAGACCTGAAAAACCGTCGGTAAAATAGAGCAAAGTTACGGCAGCTCTTTCGGCCGCCCCGGCTGCAGTCGGCCTTGCAGGATGGATCCCGGCTACCAGCTGCCAGACACTACAGACAGCCTTGAGCAAACCTCTTGGCGCTCCGGAAGCAGAAACTGACAGCACTGGCAGGCCTGGGGCTTGCAGCAGTCGTTTGCCGCCATCTGAAAACAAAAACTCCAGCTCTACGAGACGACCAACCGCACAAATGTAATTGATTCTGATGCGAGAGAGACGTGACGTGGACACTCGCGGCTTCGAATCAGAAACGAATAGCCAACCCCTGCAGACTCGGAAAGGTAAAGAAGCATCTCCACACTGACGGCCTCGCTTTCGGCACTTCGGAGGGCAATCGTACTTCCCCTGAAGGCAGGAGCGCAGTTCGCGATGGTAAGCGAATTTTTGAATCTTTCCCCGCATCTCGTTCTGCACAGTCATCTTAACTGCCTCTCACTCTCTCTAGCTCTAGCCTTTCATTGCCTTAGGTAGGTCAGTGCAGGCCAATTAGCATTACATTCAGTTTTGCATCCGGGAGGCCGCCGCCGAGCGTGGTGGTGTGTCTTTAGGCCTGTCCTGGCTGACAAATGCAAGAGCAAGGCGTTGCAGCCGCCGTTCATGAGCAAAGGTATTGAACATACTTCTCCCCATGAACAGCTGCCATGAACTGTCAATTTATCTAATCATGTAATCCGGAGGCTAACACCTCACATCAGTTCGTCACAGTGCCAACCCAGTGCATTGCAGTTCCAATTTTTCGGTACAGCCCTCCCGCACCTCAGCCACCGGCCGCTGCGGCGCATGAAGGTTGGGCTCGGAACGTGCAGCCAACCGGCTGCCGCCGCCGCTTCCCAAACTTCCGCCACCTCCACCGGCTCCTCTCATCGCACCCTCTTGGTGGATGGCTTCCAGCGCAGCTGCTGCAGCAACCTGATCATCCCCCCGCGCAGATGGCATGCTGGAAATAAAGGGAAACTTCGGCTGCGCTTACTGTCACTTGCAAAGTCCGGTGTGGCCTCTCCGAGATTGATCGCAACACGACTCCCTTCACCGGTGACCTCGAACGCGAGGCAAAGTACAAACAAATATTCGGTCGGCTTCGATATGTTTGAGGAACATGAGGCGTTTCTATTCCAGTACAATCTTCTGCAAATTGTTGAGCTTTCCGTACCGATAGCAGGCACCAATCTTCCCGCTAGAGGAGGATAGTCAACCTCACATGCACAGCATTTAGCAACTCCTAGCCGACCGACTTCTGATGATTAGGTGGAGAGCGTTAGCTGTGACGGGTGCAGAGGGCCAGGCCACTGCAGGCACTCGGGGGAGCGGAAGAGGCGCCCCGCAGTTGTGGCAGAAGCGTGCATCCTCGTTTTCGTCGTGAGGCATGGCCATCACACTCCCATCACAGATGATTTGCGTCATTTTTGGAGACTTGGCCACAAGCCAATGAAGTTGGCACTTGCCCACACTTGGTACACTGGTACTGCGCGAACCATGCCACGACAGACCTGAGCACCGAGTGGATGTGCCGACTGCCAGATATCTGGACCTCTGAGACACCAGCGCTGACGGTCCTACCGTGGAGGGCACGGCAGACTGTGCCACCTTGGAAGCCTCGGCAAGGTCAGTGCAAAAATTAGGTGGCAATCGGTCAAGGGCACGCCACGGCGACACACTCGCCGAACCACTGCACTGCTGTCTCTTACTACAGAGCGCTTGGTGTGACTTTGCAGGGTGTGGTCACGCACCACACCACCCAGGCATGTCGCCCTTTGTCGCCCTTTTTCCCTGCAAGGTGCCCCGCCGTAGTCTCCTTTTTCCTCTTCTACTTCGTCCTCTCCGTGGGACACCTCAATTGCCCAATCCACGCCCAGCCGCCCTGGGACTCCACGCCACAGTGGGGCGATGCTCGTAGAGGCTTGGCCTTGGGAAGCGCGGTGTGGGTCGCCGCGGAGCCCAGCCTCTCGCCAGCCACCAGCCTGGCTCCGGGGCCCCCGCAGTGCCTCCCTTGGCGGAGCGGGGCCCGGCGTCCCCAGCTTCTGACGCAGCGTCGCCTAAGGCGAAACAAGGCCGATTAGCCGAGGAGACCGCTGCAACGACCATACAAATGTGAAAAAGCAGCTACTGACCAGGCTCTGGCCTCCCAAAGCTCTGCAGCGCTTGCACGCTGTCGACTCGAAAGAGAGGAGCGGCGCCTGGACTTGACTCCCTGTGCTGTGCGTCGCTCCACTCAAATCCGCTCGGTGTTGGGTAGGCGAGCACAGAGTAGAGTTGCTACGCGGTTTCCTTCGTCAAGGTCTGGCGACAGGAAACACTGCAAGGCCACAGAATGAGGCAACACGAGGGCTGGCGGGGGGAGAAGCATGTGCTCCGACGGGAGTCCCAAACCGGCAGCTTGCACAATGAAATCTATGGAAAGACACACCGCCAGGAGCCTCAGTGGCTGCACGCTACTCACAGAAGGCAGCAGCGGCGATGCGGAGGAGCCAGGACCTGAGCCAGGGCCCTCGGCCGCCCTCGGCCGCCCTCGGCCCTCTGCAATCCGAGCACTCATCCTCTGGTGCTCACTCTGCGAGCCTCCCCCATCGGTTCCCATGGACGTCGAAGCTTTGGACCCAACAAGCTGCGGCAGTTGTGGCATGCTTTCTGCGCGGTGCTTCAAGCGAAACCCTATCAACAGTGCGCTTTCTTCAAAAAGTGTTTTAACCTGCAGAGTCGCGGATGGCGAGATGCATTTGCATTATCGTTCTCATTCAAGCAATGGAGATTCGGAGCGGCGGGAAAGCACCATAAAGCACGACCAGTTGAGGATCAGAGGAGTGAGAAGAGCAATCTTGGGAAAAAGCTCCATGCGGTCCAACCCCGCTGGCCAAACGGCAGGCGGCTGGCTCGACTGACTCGCCCTGGGCCTCGTAGAAGAGCAGAGGCAAAAGGGCCCTGTAAATTTCTGTGATAGCTTCAGAGCTGTGAAATGAATCCTACAGCAGTTGAATACTTCGCACTACAATCCTGCAGAGCGATGGCAATCGAAGCGACCAAGCCGGCCCGCCAGTGCGTGCGATTCACACAAAAAACACCCGGCTAGTAGCAGGGCACGAGAGCGGCACGGAGCCGGTACTGGTACGAGCGGCGTTGCACCCAGCCATTTCAGCGAGCAGTGGAAGAGCCGAGACTGGTGGGGCCTTCTGCACATTCTTCAGGTGACCTCCGTGTCCTGCAGACAAGAAGCTGCTGTGTGTCGGCATCTAGAATTGAGATTGCAAGTCTTAGTAGACGAGGCAAGTGCAGGTTTAGGATTCGTTAGCTTCGGCAGAAGCGCAGTATGCTCTTGCCACTGTGCCGTGCGTACGTTCGAGTGTTTTCGTCTACCAATTTTGGCTTTCTCGCCGCTCGAAGGGGCTAAAGACCTGGCGGGGACCTCCATATTTGGCTCCTTGGGGCTCCGCAGTGTTGTTTCGAAAGCCCGCAGTTCTTAATTGCATTGGCATGGTCCGAAGTTAGCAATCGGCTCCCGCCACAATGCCGTTACATTTTGGGGCGCGCATTGTCTTCCCACATCGCTACAGCGCCGTCACTCATACTTTGGGTGCGATTCATGCGTCCAGCTTCAAAAACTTAATCAGTGCCGTGCATCTCAGCCTCCCAAAGTCGTGATCCTGCCACAACTTGAACTGTTCTGAGGTGCCGATCCTGCTGCCTCCATAATCTTGCGTGCATTTTGCAAGCATGGGATGGTCTTGACAGTCTCATGTCGGGTGTGGACTCCTAGGTGCTGCTTCACCCCTTGGGGGTCTATGCTGGCATAATCTGTCAAGATAGTACATGATCTGCACATCTCTCGGATTGCATGTTGGGCCGTCTAACAATAAATCTTCCAAATCGATATCACGCAAAGATTTCCCAGCCCGGACTACGGCCCTGCGGCTGTGGAAACAAACAGCAGCAGCAACATCAAGAATTGGTTAGCTGAATTGTGTGCCCCGATTCGGCGATGATACCCTGCACAAACCTCATGAGCATCTTGGATACACCCCGGCAGTGACATTACCCAAAAGAGCAAGGGTTCCCATGGCTGTGCGTGAATATAGATAGTTCTGCAAACTACAACTTCCTCATGCCAGCGGCCTCTTCATTCGGTGCCACCGAAGGCCCCGCCACCGAAGGCCAAGGGGGCAAAGGATTTCCGGGGAACAGTGGCCTGGAGCAGCCACAGTCAAGCACAAGGTCAATCAGTAAGCTAACAACCGAAAATACACACATACATGCATGCATACCTACGTATGCGCGCGTACGTACGTGCGAACGAACGAGCGAGCGAAAGCACGAACGAATGAACGACGGACCAACCAATCAACCAACCCACCAACCAACCAACCAACCTAGCAAGAAAAAAGAAACCAAGCAAGTAAGCAAGCTAGCATAGGCTTGCCTGCTTGCTTACTTACCTACTTACTTGCTTACGTGCATACTTATCTACATATACATGCATGCATGCATGCATGCATGCATCTATGCATGCAAGCATACATCTTCCGGACGCAGCCAGAAACTCTTGTTTCGGGCCTGGCCAGAGCACGATTTGCTCCGGCTGAGGGTTAATAGCGCATTAAAAACTGTTGCATAGCTAGGACCTCGTTTGCTGCATGGGCAAACAAAAGCGAAACCACCAACGCCACCACCACTACCACCACCAAGACCACCGCCACACCAGCAGGCACGCCGGCCCCATTGCCCACACCCATACTCACGACGACAGCTGCAACAACCAACCAGGAACAACAAGAACGACAACTGCAACGGCGATGGCGATGACGCCGAAACTCATCGCAACCGGACCAGACGATGGCGACAACGGCGAAGACGAGAAGATGCTGTCGATCCCCTGACGACACAGGAGACATGAATGCATGACGCACGCTTGAGGCTTGCCTGGGCCTGCAGAGCAGCCACCAGGTCCATGTGACCGGCTTCCGTGGCGCAGGCGGCCGGCGTGCGGCCCTGACAGCAGCACACAGACTTGAGAATGGGCTGACTTGGCAGAGCTTGTATAGAATTGCTTGCTGGATTGGGGCGTCGGAAAGAACATCTTTGATAGTTTAGGCTGTCCTGACAGCGCCACAAATACGAAGCCTGCCTTGCCGTCGAGGTCGTTCGGGTTGGCATTGAGACCAATCAGGTACATGGCGAGATCCTGAGAGCAATGTGCTAGCTAGCTTTCTGCAAGAAAAAACACATCGCTTTGGCCGGCTCTTATCTCCTTGTGGCCTTTGCTCGAAGCCCAGTGCAGCATGGTGTAGTCCTCCTGGAGTCTCAGGTCTGGCCGGTCTGCAGCGACTTTGACTTTCGCACCGGCAGCCTTCCACTTCATGGAATGCCATCCCCTGGTCTCGACTTGCCGCAGGACCTGACAGAATGCCAAAAGTGGAGATTATTGCAGTCTCTCAGTGCAGCACATGTTGGAGACGAGGCCTTTTGCTCCCCATCTCATGCGACTCATCCACGCATGCGACATATGCGTCAGCATGTCAATCGCGATTTCACCCTGCTGAGCAGAGGTGCATGCTTGAATGACTGCACTCTGGGTCAAGGCATCCACTGTCAATCTGGCAACATGCATATCTGTGAGACACTGCAGGGCAGCAAGCCAATGGCCGGCAAGCGATGCAGCAGCTGCATTGTATGTGATGTCACTCGGCCGGGTCCGTGAGCATGCCATGCTGCGAAGAAGTGACAAAGAAGACAGCCACTGAGTTTGTTCGCAAGCATAGATTGCAGCGTTGAAGGTGATGGTGTCTGGCTGCAGAGTGAATTCTTGCAATCGACCAACCAAGCCCAGGCTGGATTGCCACTGAAGGCCTTTGCCAAACGCACTCAAGAGCCCGTTACAGAGTCTCAGGTGTGGCTGCAGGTTTTCTGCCATGATGGACAGCAGAAGCTCCGTGGCCCAGGGCCACTGCTCTGCTTTTTCACAGGCACTGACAACTGCTCCAAAGCTGATCTTGCTTCTTTTCGTAGATCTGAAGCACATCATCGACAGAAGCTCCAGCGCTGCCGTCCAGTCCGCCGCCTTCTCGCAGGCGCTCAGCGCTGCGTTGTATGTGATGGTGTCTGCTTTGAGACTCCAGGTTTTGGCTTTGGAGTTCAGCAACCAGAAGGCGCTCCGCCAGAGCCCCGTCTTCTCGCACGCGGACGTGGCAGCGTTCAGGCTGACGAGGCTCGGCTGAAGCCGCATACTATGCATCTTCGAGACCAGGCACAGGGCCAGATTCCAGTGCCCGGCTTCCCGACAAGCACTGATGACTGAGCTGGCGGAGATTGTGGTCTTCTCTGTCTCTGCCAATGCGCCCAAAGCCTGCGACCAAGCGGTCCCCTTCTGGCAAGCGCTGAGTACCACACCGAAGTGGAACTTGTTCACCTCCTTCCGAAAAGAATGCATAACTTCCACCATCTCTGTCGCCCACCACCAGCGTCCTCCTTGAGAGATGTGTTCCAGGACCTTGGTCCCATGCCGCGGATCGGCACTGAGGCCGCGAACCTCGCGGCGGATGTCCATTAACTTTCTGCAGCATGGGAAAATCGGAAGGCGCACTCAAAACAGCAGTCCTGGGGGGTTTTGATCTTAGCCACTCCGGCACGGCGGCACAACCATTGGATGCAAGCACACGTCGAAGCCATCTTCTGCGAGTCTCTTTGTGGCACAGACATACCTATTTAGCAAGGAAGTCTCACAGGGAACCTACCAAAGTTCCACATCACTCGTTCAGGGCTTGCAAACTTTGCAAACGGTCGGCGCTGACACTCCACGTGCTTCTCTATGCGAAGGTGCCGTGCGCACACACACACACAAATATCCACAAGCAGACAAGACCAACAAATGGAGACGGCTGTACCTGCTGGTATGCAGCAGGCAGAGAATCAACCTGCGGCCGCTCAGAAGACGGCCTGTCCAGTGGAAAGATGAAAACATCACAAGGAAATTTCGCTTGCGAGATATCAAGGAAAGTTGCAACATGATAACTTCGGATGACTTCGACAATCGCCACGAGGAATTAGCCACAGGACTATACAGTGGTATTGATGCATGTGCATGGTCTGCTACTTTGTCGCATAAACATCTTGCAGATTGTTGACTCAACAGCTGCATGTTACTATACTTATATGACACTACAGTACTGCCCAATCTTGACTTGTCTCCGTTGTTCCAGCAGGCCGGTATTGAGGTTCAGGCAGGGCCGGTATTCGGTGGGGTAGCAATGCTCAAGTCGGCGCTAGCCGCACCTACCCTGGGACCGAGCCAAGCCAAGAAGCCACGCCTGCAAGCCTGTGAAATCAGGTTCGACTGGAATCATTCTGGAGATGTTTTTTGAGAAGCTTCTTGAAATCTGGCTGCTGCCTATCTTAGTCAGATGATGAAACCAGGAGATTCATGTCAAGTTTAGCCTCTTCGGATTGACACTGCATTCTTTAAAGCCTGCCACTGGTAGTAGCGCACTGAAGCGCAAGATTGTCTAGGAGGGATGGCTGGCTGCGTGTACGATTTCTGGCGCTCACGTGGAGTTGCTTAGGTGACCTGCAGTCCTTGCAAGACTCCAGGCCTGAAGGGGTCAGCTTCGCCTTGCGACCAGGACAAAACTTCACAGATTGCTACTTCGGGCTGGAAGCAGCTGTTCAGGAAACTTCGAGCGTGGCTCCGCGACTCCCTGCTGCGGCTTCGACTTGTGGCCTCCCACCCGGCGCAGGTGGTAGGCCAAGCCCGTACGTCCCGCTCGCTCTGCATAGAAGAGCGGTGTGCGACCTGTCACAAGACTTTTGTAACAGGGGAGAGGCTTTGTGCACATTGCCCGATCGGCACCTTGGTCATCTCGGGATGACAAGAGACTGTGGCCGTTGTCCTGGGCAGAAGAGCAGCCATGACCCAGGGCCGGGAAGCACCGAAGGTATTATGGTTATCGTCATGACCATGCACCTCCAACACTATCAACATCGTCATGAACAGGACCGTCATGATTAGCATGATCATGCTTGTCACGCTGTAGATTCAGCAAATGATGGCGGTGATGATGACGATGACGATGATCAGCATTACCTGCAAATTCTTACTGGTGCTTGAATGATTAAAATTAAAACAGCAATTATCATGATTGTGGGTTCTCGGCGTTCGGCACCTGATAAATCACTCTCAGCCTGTGGCCACCAGTCGACGGAGGAATTCCACAAGGTCTCGGCGACCTCGATGAGCTGCCCAATGCATAGGCGAGTAGCCATGCTCGAACCTTAGCGAGCATCATGCGGGCACCAGGCCTGTGAGATCCGAAGGCGCCCACCGTTCCGGCATGTCGTCCTGTGCCATGGCTTGAAGGACCTGGCAAAGCTTCGAGGTTTCTCGAACACTCATGCAGGAAGCCGGCAACGGCCATAGAATGGCGTATGCTTCAATGCCGGAGGTCCAGGGAAGCATCGTGCGAGTCACATGTGGCCCCAGAGCTCTCGGGTCCGTTTCAGAGGCCAGAAGCACCCGAGTCATGACGAAGGCAGTTGCGACTTTTCAAAGAACGTCGCACATTAGGAAGCAAGAAGCGCCTCGATGAGCTGGTCGGGGACTGATGCAAGAGCTGATGTCGGCTTCAGTATCTCCAGCTCCTTGTAGACCCAGAGTCACAAGCAAACACTGACCGCTGGAAGCAACGTTTGACCACTCCTCTTCGCAGCGCTTCATGTCCCGCTGCAGGTACTCTTTGATCTGAGCCGATTGGCGAAACACAACTGCCTGAAGCCTCGCAATGCAGCTCATGGCATTGCCTTCTGCTGGTCAGACTCTGACAGGCTGTGCTCCAACGCAACCTGCGGCAAGAGAGCGCAGCACATGCTATCAAAGCTGCGAAGCTCTGAGTGACGACGACAAGGCCCGCCAAAGCAAGCGATCTTTCAACCTCCTGAGAATGCCTGGACCAAGCCAAGGGTCTTCCAGAATGCCGTTTTGGGTACTACTGAGGAAGCGAATTTGGAGTGCTGCAAGCGTGCTTGACGGCGGCTGTCACAAGCAACAAGAGCGGCTGGTCGCCAAGTTCTGTTCGCAAGCTCCACTCTCTCTCTCCAGAGCCTGCTGGCCTCTTCCTGCAGGGCCTTCAAGTCATGGAGCCGTGCATCCAGTCTGAGTTGTTCAGTGTGGCGCCTGCACGTCTGGAATCTAATCCCCAAGGCTCGCGTCGGCTCCACTCACCTCTGAGGTTCCGACTCAGATTCAATCTCCGTCTTTTTCTCGTAGTCGGTAAGCCCACGCCGAAGGGGCAGGCCCTGCGCGTGTTTCGGTATCCACCACTACATTTCTTGGCCCGCGACCAAAAGGAGTAACGAGTACGATGAGGCTCCTTGCTCTCGGCAACAGCAGCCCCCTCCAGCTGAGCGTTGATGGATTTGATGTGGACCTGCCATGAGCACCTCTTGATCCTGCACGAGCCCTTCAGCATCAGCGAACCAGCACCCACCTCCGTGGCATTCGAAATGTTGTCTTCCAGTTCCTTGTGCGCTTTGCGCACCTGTTGGGGAGGGAGACAGACAGACAGACAGACAGACAGACAGACAGACAGACAGACAGACAGAGAGGCAGAGAGGCAGAAAGTCAGATAGAGAGACAGAGAGAGAGCGAGAGATAGAGAAAGGAGAGAGCGCCGGCACACTTCAGATGTTTGCCTGGAGGACAACGTCTACATTGGATCCAGGCAGCAGCTCCTCCTTCGCAAGCTTCACTCGCACCATTCCAGAGCTCTAGATACGCTAGTCGGTACAAGACTTCATATAGGTACCATGTGTCAGACAAAATGCCTGCTTCTGTCTTCTGTCCAAGAATGCAGCTCAATAGTATCATTCTCCCATGAAAGACAACTCAATCACTGTGCTACCTAAGAACAGCCACCTGAGCGTTGGAAATTGCAGGCAGCTGAGGAAAGCTGCTACACGCATCCTCCAAGCCGGCCAAGAAGTTCATCGGGCTTAGTTGTTCAGATGCGCATTGGACATGAAACACTCTTTTCAGAGGAAAAAAACAGGAGTTAGAGTCTTCACAAGGTCCAGGATCCCTCTCAGACCAGAGCTCTGCCCAAAGGGACATCCGATGTGCCCTGGGAAGACAAGTGGTTGGATGTGCTGTGTTGCTTGCATTTCCATCTTCTCATTCCAAACAGCGGTAGCACACCGTTGCAGAGTTGCGACTGGGTGCGCTGCCGCATTTCAGCATCACTTTTCGTTTTGGCTATGGATGCTGTGGCGGCCTTCAATTCCTGTCCGGAAAGGCACTGTGCGCTGCAATGCATTAATCACAAACATCGTGGCGAAAAAAGCCCACCGTGGCTACGGTCTCTACAGCGAGACCAGCGATGCCTTGTTGCACGACATCCCCTAGCGGTTGACGCGGGAAGAAGCCCGGGGTTGCAGGACTGTGCCTGGAAACGCGATACATTTCCAGCGACACCCAAAACGAGGCCAGGTATAGGGACCCTCTAACATCAGGCGGACACCAGACCGGCGAAACTGTTTATCCATCAACCGTCAACACTGCGTCCGATGCTTGAAAGCAAAGAGCGAGAACCGAGCCAAGCATGGACGAAAGTTCAACAGGCGCACCTGGTGTTGTCTGATGAGCTCCTCATATTTTCGCTGCCTGGGCTTGTTCTTCGGAATACATTTGACCATACTGACCGTACTATGCATGCCTCTTTGCTCCCACCGGGCTTCCGACCAGTCGCTCGAAGTGTTCTGAATTTCCTGAGCACCAGTGGATATTTGCAGTGTTGCAAAAAAATCACACGGTAGAATTGCCGGTCTGCCTCTGCTCGACTGGCGATCTGCAATCCTTCGCTGCGGACCTACATGCCCCATCGAGGCCAAGGGTGCAAGCAGCACGAGAAGAGACAGAGGAAAAGGCACAGCAACCCCAGAAAGAGACAAGAACTATGCAGAAGGAAGCGTGCAAAAGCAAGCAAAGACGACTTGAAAACCAGCGAGCTTGGCCGGTCTGTTAGAGCAAGGTTCTGAAGAAAGGCCTTAAGGCTTTGGCCGTGAGGAAAGAGCCTAGATTCTCTAGGCGCGGTTTGGGAACGTGCAAACCGGAATGCTGCGCCCGGGCGCCTGCTCAAGTGTTTGCTTCAACTCCTCGGCATCCTCTGCCAGGGGATTCGACAAGCCCATTCTGTAATCCGACAATGCGCTCTGCAAGAAGAGAGAACAGCATCCAATTGGTTGTGCATGGTGCAAAGATCCTTCTTCTCAGCAGCCAGCTGCGACAACAGCCTGTGCAAGACTCTACATGTTTCTTCTATGCTTCAAGAACATCAGTCGACAGGATTGCATTTGACCAACGACATGGACAATCTGACAAGGTGTCATGGTCTAGAGTTACCCCAAAGTCAAGCATTTCTCAGAATCTTGCGATGACAACTTCTCTTCCTGCAGTCGCCGCTTATCTTCAGATTGTCGAGCCTGCCAGGTCTGTTGCAACTAAAGCAATGATTGCACACATCACCCGAAACACATCAGCCCCTCGAACAGGTGCACAAGGACATAAAGCTGGCCGCCCGACATGTGATCGGGAAGATACCCGAAACATCCCGAAGCCATGAACCGGCATTGAATGTCTTGGCATGAGCGCATGGGAAGGCATGCCCAAGCCTCCTGGTTCCGCTCTTCTAACTTCTTCTGCAGAAGCTTTACCTCCGCCTCCCTCGGCATGCGCTCTGGTCGGATTTGGTTCGTCTGCAGAGCATCTAGAACACCTCTACAGCCGGGATCAGCGAGAACGCACCGTCAGTGCATCCCGACCCTATATAGACCTTGAAAGGCTAACCACTGCACATGAAGCAAGAGTCTTCCAACTATATAGCTCTTTTTCTGCACGCAAGCAGAGAAAAAAGGCAGCAACAACAACAACACATGGCGGAGGCGCTGGTTGTTTAAGGCTTCCCGGAGGTCAGTTTCTGCTTTGGCCTTTTCTTCCTTCAACTTCCTGACTGGCAAAGCAGGTGGCAGCCGGGAGAGACGCGCTGAACAGCGGCTGCTTCATGCCGGGAAGACACAAGACATGCAATTATGAACTTTCAATATCGACCTAGAGCAACTTTCCAGCAGCTTGTCATAACCAGTGCTTAGCTGACACAGGCTGACAAGCAGCTTCAGCGTGGTGACATCTGCCGCCAAGGTATCCCGCTCTGCTTGAAGCGTGCGAAGCCTTCCAACTTCAACAGCTGCCTTCTCTGCTTGCAAGAGCCGGACCACGCAACAAACCAGTAATGATGTGCAAAGCTGCCGAAACACATCCATTGGCCGACAGTGCAGCCTGCCTGCTGTTTGCCTCGTCCAGGGAGGCTCGGTCGCCTGCATTGCGCGCCTCGACAGAGGTCGCCATTTCGTTCTTCGAGGCCACACGGCCAGCATGGTTCCGCACGAAATGGTACCTTCTCGCCTTCCCCCAATTCCCACCTGGAGGTGTCTAAAAGCTGCCTCGTCCATATGCAATCTGTGTTGTTTGTTTGTGTGTGTGTGTGTGTGTGTGTGTGTGGGTGCGGGTGCGCGTGCGCGTGCGCGTGTGCGTGTGCGTGTG